ATTAAAAAAAAATACAAATTTTTGGCATTTACCTTGGAAAATCCTGTGGGCAATTACACAAACAATATTCATAGTTAGAAATTACACACTTTTTATTCAACAACTAAAAATACTATTAGTAATCTATTGCTCACCACAGTGAATTGGAAATTTTAAAATACTGACTCTTCTTGATTTTCTACTCCAAATAGTTCTTTTTCAACTTTATGCAGAGAAGAAAATACTACATCATGTACATCCTGCTACTTAAGAGAGAGAGGTATGTTTTCACAGTATCCAGACAATGTAAAACATTAGAAAATATAACAGTTTTGATAGGAGTTTCATTATAAATTTTTGCATTAAAATCACTGAAAAATCAACAATTTCATTTGCTGTCAGGAAATGTATCATAATCATTAAAATCTTAAAATATCTCATGTGTTGTGAATTGGGATGACATAAGAAAGGAATTTCCTGTCTTGTTCAAGTCTCACTGGATTGGCTACACTCATGACTCATCTACCCCTCTAAAGTCTAATAATAATGGCTTTCACCCTTTCCCATTGAAATTTGCTGCACAAGGAAAGACCTTTTTTGCTCCAGACAAAAAAAGATGACATTTGAAAATTTTTTTTATTTTCCTTACACAAACTAGTAAAAAATTCAGCTGCTGAAATCATTTTATTAAATAGGGGTTTATCATTTGTTAAATAGGGTTTTTTTGACATCATTTTAATTGGGGAAAGAGAAAAATTCGTTAAATTGGGGTTCGACTATATATAATTAAATTGGAAGAGAAAAATAATGTGTTTTTATTTTAAATATACTCAATAATAGAGCATGTCATGGGAATGGATATGTCTCAGGCCAAAGATGTGGTTGTGCGATCTTAACGTTTAATGACTGGCTATTTCATGCTAATTTCATCCTATGCTTTGGAATCTTCATTTGTGTTTTTCTATTTTACAGAAATAACTTTTAAAAGGTCTTGTTAGTATTTTAATATATTTTGAAAAATCTTTAGCATGAGTAGAATATGATTAACTAAATGTGTAAGTATTAATACCAGTATTTTGATGACCAATAATTATATAAATAGCCAATTTTAATCAAATATATTTAAAGCAATTAATTTTTAATTTAATTTATGTTTTTTAATGAAATGCATTTTAAATGATTACTGAGAAATAAAATCTTTTAGTATGATCCATTTTATTATATTAATGTTACAATTCTAATTTTGAAAATTTATGTAGAAAAAAAGTCTTTGAATTAAGAATTATTGTGCTTAATTTTATGTACAAAAATTCAGTTAGTTTATTATATTTTATAATTTAAAGGTGTCTAATAGCCATATGCATGAATATGAGTTGAAAAAAAAATTCAATTTGTTAATAAACAGATTTCAATATGTGTTATATAAATTAAATTGAAAAATTACGTTTTGTTAGAAAAACATTTCTTTTAATAATTTTTATCTTGATTGCAAATTGGTGTTTTTTTCATTCTGTTTATTGTAGATCTTATATAGGTATAAAGGTATTTAGGACCATACTATAGACTCTGTTTCATACAATGTTTCTTAATTTCTGATACATTAGTGTTGTTTTTGAACACTTTCTCTGTTACATTGGTTTAATTCATTGTGTTCCATTTATCATTTTTTCTTCAAAATTTGACTGTTTTGTATATTTTGTAGTTTTTTTTTGATAAACTTTTATTAAAAATATTTTCTATACTTATTTTCTTTGGTGAATGTTGATATCTATTTTACATGATATGGTGACTTTTTATGGGATTGTTTATATAAATAAAAGTTGTGTGCCTCTGTTATGTTATTTGTATTAATTTTCTTAACCACATCGTAATGCTTACTTCAAAGTAGAATGGTAATATTTAATTTCTTACCACAATAATTACTTAACTAAATCCACAACAAGAAATCAATAGTTTTCTTTTATAATTTACCAAATTACCTGCACTCTTTATATACGTGACATGTTTTGTGTGTCAGAAACAGACTTAGTTTTTAAAAAGGAACTTTATTTGAGGAAAGTTAGACATCATTTGACGCTAAGAGGCAGAGAGGAAAACGAACGCCACCGAAAATCTTGTGGGTTATCACTTGAGAAGCCTATCGCGGATTTCATAAGTGCACTTGAAAGTTAATGCTGACACATAGGGCTATTAAATATAACGATCTGGAATTAGACATGTTTATTGGCTAGTCTATATGTTCGGAAAAAAATAAATGGGTGATTAGTTTGATACTTGAAGAGGTAATGATAAAAAATAAAAGTTAAGTGCTAGATAGGGAATTTAATTTTTAATCTAATTTAATTATCCTTACATACATAAGAATCTTTCTAAATGTATGGAATATACTCTGTAATAAAAAATAAATAAATTATTGCTTAAAAAACATCCTTTTATGGTTAATAGAACTAAAAAGTAAAAAATAATTCTTAATATAAGAATAAAATGATTAATGCGAAAATTAATGTCATTGGGGTAAAAGCGTGGGGTGCTCTATATCAGTTGTTATGATGTCTTACTAGATCTATTCTGAAATGTTGAGTTAGTGTATAAAAATTTGGTACAAAGCACACATACCCCACGTTTTTACCACATTGACATTCATTTTCTCGTTAATCATTTTATTCTTATATTAAGAATTAGTTTTTTTTACTCTTTAGTTCTATTAACCATAAAAGCGTGTTTTTTTTAGTTTTTTAAACTATAATTTACTTTTCACTTTTTAGTTCGATCTACAATAAAAGCGTGTTTTTTAGTTTTTTAAACTATAATTTATTTTTCACTTTTTAGTTCGATCTACAGTAAAAGCCTGTATTTTTAGTTTTTTAAACTATCATTTATTTCAAAACTTTTTTTTAAAATTTTTGCCCCGCGACCGAAAAAGTTTGCCCATCCCTTAGTTAGAACAAATTATTATTATTTTTTTTTCACTTGCACGAGTCTTTTTTTTCTTTTCATTTCCAGAAAGACTGGACAATTGTTTATATTTTGATAAGAAATTGCTGACATAAAAAAACGTTTTCGCTTTTAGGGTTACTCTTAATCTTTTAGTCGCTACATCGGGAAATCTTATAAGGAATTAGTCGCCAAATCTGGAAATCGTTATTCCTGATTATCCTGATCAGGACAATGGAACAAAATTATAAAATTATTGTACTGTCATCGGTCCTTGATAAGTGTGCAAAATTTCGAATTAATCTGACCATTTAAAGTGGGTAAAAATCGAGTTCAAAGATTCCGTTATATACAAGTGAAACTTATAAAAGCGTGTTAAAAAAGTAACACACATTGAGAAAGAGATATCAAAATGTGACAAAATTAAATATGCGCATAATTTACGGCAGAATACGTTCAGGATCAGCTTTTGGTGGCCAAGTACGGCTTAGAGGATGAGCTGCAATGCATTTCAATGGAGTTTTCGGAAGATGTATAAAATAGCGGACTTTCCAATGCTGAGAGACATATATATATAACTTCCATACTAAAGAGGTTCACGTGAATGCCTCACAGATAGATTCACTAACAGTATCCGTAGGCGTTACCTTTGGAGAGAGTAGATGCAGTAAATCCATGTTGCAAAGGACGCGATTGCTTTTCTATCGTAAGATTTTAATTCTTCAGTTGAAAATTTTTGTAAAATTCCTCATCAATTCCTTTTTGTAAACTCCCTTCTTATGAATGAAATTAACGTGAATCTTAGTCACCACCGAATCTTATGTTCTTAATCTAATGCACCGAGAAAAAGCAAAGGCCGATAATCTGAAATGTCTTATTCATCTCTTCCAGTGGCATAGCTACCGCCGTATCACTCATACGGAGCCCTAAATGTGTAAGAAAAAAATCGTAAAATGTGGAGAGCCGACCAAAAGGGCACCCAAGAAATTTTGATACAGGGCCCACTCGGGACTAGCCACGCCAGTATGTTCAACATTTGAATCTTAAAAGAAATCTAACATGTGCAAAGAATACTGAATTTCATGAAACTTACTGTAGCAGACGTTAACTGCATTTTTTATTCTGATAAGGAAATGAAAGACTTATAGGTGTTTCACTTGTAGTGGAACAACCGTTAGTTTTTTCATCGACTGAGATTCAATAAAAGCCACGGCGTCTGCGCCATAATCTCGAATTCAACGAAACGAAATAATGTGATTTGGATCAAGTATGCATCAAAATTCTTCAACTGTTGAAGCAAAAATTAGATAAAGAAATACAGACGTTGTATTTTTAGAAAAAGCTGGATGACCTTCAAGAGAGTCCCATGTGGTCTAGTAGCACTGGCGTACCTAGCTCTGAAGGGGACCTGTATCGAAATTCCTTCGGGGGCCCTTTTTTAGATATGAGAGCCGTGTTAGTAAGACTGTAGTTATGCATATTGGGGCCTCTGTAGCTCTTGGGCCACGTATCATTGATACGGCGGTAGCTACGCGCCTGTCTAGTGGTTAGGATTCCTGGCTCTCTCCCAGGCGGCCTGGGTTCGATTCCCGGCATGGGAAGTTTTTGTTCCATGGTGTAATGGTTAGCACTCTGGACTTTGAATCCAGCGATCCCCGAGTTCAAATCTCGGTGGAACCTTTATTGCTTTTACATATGACAAAAATACAGGAGTTGTCACCTCTCAGAAAGGTTTTATCCTCTTCAATTAATCGGAATCTGAAAGGTTATATAAGAGTGATAATTTTTAATGCGAAAAAGCCTGTATCGTAAATTTTCTTTCCAAGAAACACAGTACCAAGCGAAAGTCTTATGCTTTTTGTATCATAAATTTAAAGTTTGGGAGAATTTCATGTGCTTTCAAAAGAAATGATATCGTGCAAAGAAATAATTGTTTCTCTATCGAGTCTGCGTGTCCTCAAATTCGACGTAAAAATGTTTCTTTCGACAAAAATTAAAATCACAGTTGTATAAAAACAACAGAAATAATGATGTGCAAATGTGAGAGAAATTGGAATTGAGACGAACAATTGTTAGTCCCAAATGACTCCCATGTAGTCTAGAGGTTAGGAATCCTGGCTTTCACTCAGGCGGCCCGGGTTCGATTACCCGCATGGGAAACTTGAGTTCCATGGTGTAATGATTAGCCCTCTGGACTCTGAATCCAGCGATCCGAGTTCAAATCTCGGTGGAACCTTACATTTCGCATCAGATGGTATTGAAACCTATCACAACATACATCTCGAATTCAAAACTTGTAAAAGTTGGAAAAGACAGAATTCAGAAGAAAATAAAAATTTTGATGATAAAAACATTAATTCAATGTATATAAAAGTAACAAGGTTCTTTTGAGGCAGAAGGAATTTTTTAAATGAGGCTAATAAATTTCAAAATTTCTGTTGAATAGTTTGTTCTAGCGGTTAGGATTCCTGGCTTTCACCCAGGTGGCCCGAGTTCGATTCCCGTCGTGAGAAACTTGGGTTCCATGGTGTAATGGTTAGCACTCTGAATCCTGCGATCCGAGTTCACAAATCTCGGTGGAACTTTACATTTTGCACAATAGATGGTATTGAAACCTATCACAATATACATCTCGAATTCAGAACTGATAAGAGATGGAAAAGACGGAATTTAAAAGAAAAAAAAATTTTTGATGATAAAAACATTAATATTATGTATATAAAAGTAACAAGGTCCTTTTGAGGCAGACGGAATTTTTTAAATGAGGCTAATAAAGTTTAAAATTTCTGTTGAATAGTTTGTTTTCATTCGTTTAAAATTAATGTTCTTTTCAGGCATATTTCAAAAAGTTATAAAAATTCAATCCCAATTTACATTATGCTCTATCGAATTGCGCACAAGGTGTTTCAATAGTCACGAAGGATGATAACGCCTGTAGCGGCTTCTGAAAACATTTAATATTCCGTTACGGGTTCAAAAACCGAATTTGTAGGAAAACTATTTAAGAATTACACAAACAATGACGTAGACATGTATAAAATTCCTTATTTCCGCCGAGCCTCGGTAGCGCAGTAGGCAGCGCGTCAGTCTCATAATCCTCAACTTGGACATATTTGAAGGTCGTGAGTTCGATACTAACCCGGGGCATTTGGTATTGATTTTTGGAGCCGTCTTAAATTGAAAGCGTCTGTCTCGAGCGTAAATGCTTATGATCTCGAAATTTTCATTTCACTTTTAATTTGATGCAATGGATTGCTTTTACTCTTTGAAAAATTCAAAGTTGTTTACATTTCGAGAAAGATGGTGTAAAATATATTTGTTTCGGTAAACATGGATTCAGAACTAGAAAACTGACTAAAAATACTTCAAATGTTGAATAAAACTTACATAAAGGAATACAGACGTTGTACTTTTAGGAAAAGCAGGATGTGTTTCAATGGAGTCCCATGTGGTCTAGTGGTTAGGATACCAGGCTCTCAGTCAGGCGGCCCGGGTTCGATTCCCGGCATGGGAAGTTTGGGTTCCATGGTGTAATAGTTAGCACTCTGGACTTTGAATCCAGCGATCCGAATTAAAATCTCGGTGGAGCCTTTGTTGATTTCACATAAAGCAATAATATAGGAGTTGTCACCTCTCAGAAAGTTTTTATCCCCTTTAATAAATCGGAATCTGAAAGGTTATATAAGAGTGATATAACTTTTAATGCGAAAAAGCCTGTATCGTAAATTTTCTTTCCAAGAAACACAGTACTAAGCGAAAGTCTTGAAATGCGTTTTGT